CCTGGGATTTCAGCTGCTTGCTCAGCAGCATGAAGTTGCATACCATGGTGACCAGCTGATGGGTCATGTTCATGTGAGTGTGCATGATGTCCTGCAGTCTCCACAAGAGTTGTGCAAGGTGACAAGCAGGACACACCACTTCTCCTGGGTCTCTGTGCCATGGTGGGGTGCGAGCAGGCTGAGACATAGAAGGCACATACAACTCACAATAGAGGTAGCTTGCTCTGGGGTTCTTCTGGAAGACTAGGGATGCTTGCAGGGGAGGGTCTGCAGTGATGTGGCAGAGGGTTGGGGGCATGCTTGCCTGTGCCTGGCAGCCAGTCAGGGGTGGTCTGGCACTTGGCTGGGGGTAGCACTCTCAGGCAGCCCCAGGAGGTCACAGGGCATGTTGGCAGGTGTTCAGAGTGGTTCTAACCTGCCGGCCTCGACAAGTGCAGGCAGCCTGTGTTGCTCTCCCCCTCCCCCCACCAAAGGGCAAACATGTCATGTTTGCTACTGATCTATCCTAGGTCGCTTACAGAAAACTGTGTAAATTAGAGTGATTCCTCCTTGGAGTTTTGAAAATCTGTACTCATCCCAGAAGTGATCCTAGTGATTCATTGGGTGAGTTTGGTGACCAAAGTACTATTTAGCATATAACAAAACCTGACCCTAAATGAAATCCTGACCCCACTGAAATCAGTGACAAAATAAGTCAGTCTTATAAATTCTTAAAAAGTACACTTGTAGTTGTATGCTCAACTGTTTTTCAAATTTGATTATAAGGGGCAGAATTTTCCATATCCAAGACAGATGTGTGCTAAGGTGTGATTTAATGATACGGTCCAAAATTCTATTAATGTAAGCAATAAGTAATGTTAGAATCTCTTGAACTGGCTTTTTTTATAATCTGTACTAACTATTATTTTCACTGAACTGACTCTTACTTTTATAATATTTTCCACTTTAATATGTAGTTTTTAATCCATAAAGTAAACTTACTTTTATGTGTACTTGCAGAGTTTCAATGGGTGTTCAAGTTATTAATAGGAATATAAAATAGGTCTATTACAAGTGTGAGTTTTGAATGGTGCCTTTTCTTACAGCTGTTTAGGAAAATTGCTTCCCTGACAGTTCCAAATTATTCTTAAACAATCTAAAGAACTGCATAGCAGAAATATGCCTCTCTAAAATTCTGTAAGTTTTGGGGGGTTTTTTGCTTTTTTTAATATCGTACAATTCTGCCTTAAGGGCTGAATTATGCAACTTGGGACCAAGTCTACTAACTTACTAGTGGAGATAAAAAGGATGGGAATAAAGAGTAGGAGTGAGTGGAAATAATCTATATGAAAAGATCCATTCCTATAGTTTAATAAGGAATAATAGCTTTCCTATAGAACTTTAAAATGAATGTATAATATTCTATAACTTGCTGTTAACTCAGTTTACAGAAATCCATCTAAAAGTTCTGAATCTCTGTTGCATGTGCCATGTTTTTAGAAGTATTTCTATAGAACTCTGTATTTAATTAATCCCCATTATATTTTGATATGGTAGGGTTTTCCACGAAGGTTTATGTTAAAAAAAACTAATATTTTTAACAGAGGGTTTTATTTTTGTGTTTTTTAATTCTGTTCCCTAGTAATCAATTGCTAGTGACAGAAAATAGAAGTTATGGTTTAAATGAGATTTATATACTAAAATGAAAAATGTGTCCTGTCTAATAAGTGGTAGTTATAGAAAAGCTAAATCGAGTATTTAGCTTAATGAATTAAAAGTCTGTATATAGTGTTTGTTGTAGTTGCAGGAGTTAATGACAGAATAATCAATGCACATCTGTCAGTTTGTGTGCAAATAAAGAACTGAAGGATAGCTTTTTTATTTTTTATTCCCCCCTTCTCTTCTGCTGTGTTTTTCTAGAAATCTGTCTTGGAAAAAAAACCCAGTATATGTAACTTAGCATCTCTGCAACAAATAAGAGACTTAGTCAAAATTAACAACTGTTTGCAAGTGAAAGTGCCTGCAGTACTCCTAAAACCTTAGCACTGAGGGAAGAGATAAACATATAATTCATAAAGAGGAGGTCTGTCATGGAGTCACTGATTGAAAAGCTCACCCCTTTGGAGAAAGGGATATTGAATTTTATTCAAATATGACTAAGCAGGACTAATATCTCCACACTTCCATTGAAGAAGAAAGATCTACATTTGCTTTTAGAACTTTTAGGATAGACATCTAAACTATGTTTCTACCGTAGATTTTTGTTGGTTGAAACATGCAGATTGATTAATGCTGTAGAACTGGTAAAGATTGCTTGAAATGAGGACATTTTAGCTTTACCATAAAAGAAATGGGTACTCAAACATACAGGTTCAAATTCAGCTCCAAGCAAAACATTTCAGCAGATGATCTGTGGTTCCATAAAATAACAGAATTAGGCCTGTAAAGGCATTGATTTAACTTTGGGTGGCAAGGTACAAGGTATATTTTTACTAACAAAGGACCTTATCTATTGGAATTCCTTTTTTCCTGGGTCTGCAGTAATCCAAATGGCTTGCCACTTAGGACATATTGCAAAAAACAATTTAATCTGCCTAAGCTTTGATAATAAGGACAACCATCAGGGTAGAGGCAGGGAGAATTGTCTCTGGTTAATTTTGGTTATAAAGACAACTATAAAAATGGTTTTACTAACCTATTGAGCATATCTAGAGCCATGGGTGGGCCTCTAAAACTAAAGAGATATGCTCTTTGTATCAGTTTCTGAGCAGAAGTTAGAGCAAAGAAATTCAAGTGATAGCAGAAAGTTTTGCTGCTGTAATGCATACTCAGTACATCTTGCTATGCAAGTGTCTTCATTGGCTAGGGACAGACATTCAAAAAGCCTGAGCCTGAATTGATTCAATCTTCACAGGTTAGTATAACCTGGTTAGGCTAAACTGGTTTGTAATCACAGCGACATCCCCTCCGGAATGCAAAAATTCAGGCACATGCCTGCAGTGGCTCAGCCTAGAAGCTGGGGCGTACTAGAGCAGCCCTCTCTTCCTTTCCACAGGGCTGAGCTGAGGGGGGCATGGCCAAGCCCTGGCAGGACCTCTGATGTTCCCCATCGTCCTGAGCAGCCTAGCAGGGAATGTTTATCATACCTAACTCAGTGTTTCTCAACCCATTAAGAAAACAAACTCACTCTCCATTAGTTCAAGCTCTTCTTAAACAGCTTTTCCAGAGAAGGACATTACTAGCTACCTGTTGATTAGCTCCAAAAAGCCAATCTGCCTTTGTTGTCTCCCGCAGCACAGACTGTAGCCAGCATGTAGTCTGCTAGTTAATGCTGAGAGGTGTAAGGCAGAGGGGTGGGAGAAGCCAGGAAGATGCCTGTAGCCTGCAGTCACTGCTGGAGCTCCAGCCAGGGAGCAGGGGGGAGGGACCAGCCGTGCTGTGGAGCAGAGAGCCTTGCCCAGCCCAGAGAACATACTGGAATGTTGGGGGTGTCTGGTTTATCTTAAACCAGGAAGGTGTCTGGGACAGACATTGCATAAACTGTCTGACATTGCAAATCAGTTAAGTCTGATACTACATTCAACCAGGTTTATCTCAAACCGGTTTCAGCCATTCTCAAACTGGTTTATGTGCACTGGACATCTGTTCTGTTACAGATTTAAACTAATTTCTGGTCACTTAAACCAGTTTATGTGTAATGTCTGTCCCTAGCTATTAAGTCCAATAAATTGCTTATCTATCAAGTTACTACAAAATGAGAAAGGCCTGCAAAGTTGGGCCCATGATATACTCATCAAGAACTAGGCTAGCAACAAAGGTTTTTTTATTACAAATGTCATAGACCTGAGACCTTAATGTTCTTAAAAATAAACATATAAAATCCTAAATATCCATTGCCTGTACCTTATATATGCCCACACTTTCATCTACCCCGCCCATCCTTCTGACAAAATTGGGGTGGCATGGTTCTCTTTGGAACCTATCAACACTCTCTTTTATCAGTCAGCGAGATTGCTGTTGATCAATGCTAATCACTTCTTTCTCCTCTGGGGACATGTCTGCTGCCTTTACAAGATTCCCAGCCTCTGCATGCCCAGAGAGACACTAGCACTAACACTGGGAAACAGATGCCAGTGTTCTCCCTACAGCATAACAGATTACTTTAAGATGACTCTTGCCACCTAGGGTATTAAACAGAAGCTCTATTAGTACAGTATATCTTCACATATTTATGCATTGCTTCACTGTAACAGGGGCATAAAGTGTGCACCAAACCCTATTACAGGATCTCATTATTCAAAGTATAGATGTAATAGTCCAATGATATTATTCATGAGAAAAAGCCTCTTATTTTCACACTTGGAATGTAATTTTCACTGCAAATATAAAATACATCATGATGAAAAGAGGAATAATTCTTCCTGATTTTCATGTATTTCTAATAACCTAACATGACTACTTGTGATTGTGCTACTTGAAGCTTAAATTATGTGGTAATCCACTTTTCAATATGGTACAAGTTTCTTTTTCTCTAATGGCTGCAGATTGCATGCTTACAGTGCTTTGTTGAATGGGGAAATATAGTCCTCCTTTCCTTTTGCTTAAATCATAGTCCAGACCTCATATGGAAGACAGCTCTGGCTTTCTGGACCTACTCCTGCTGTGAATAAGGGATGAAGTGTAGCTTAGCCTTGTCTGCCTCCCCATTCTTCACACTCACTAGTTAAGCATGACATGGGAAGAAACCTATATCTTCTGAAATATTTTTCCCTAGAACAAGAGAGGAGCTGGAGAAGGAAGCTTGATTTTCAAAGTCAGAATTCCTTCCAAGATCTGCTGGTACAGTAGCACAGACAACACACAACTTTTGCCTTAATACAAGGCCTAATGTCTCAGTAAAAGTATAGATATGCATGTAGAGATCTAAATTACCTTGAGAATCATTATGTGCAATAAGGAGGTATATATCTGTTAAATACATTTCCATAATAAAAGATGTTCTACTTCTGTGTCTGTTCTAGGGTCAAAATGTATTTGGACTTGATATAATTGAAACACCCGAGGGAGACAAGTGGCCACAGCTTATTGTCCAACAAATCCTGGACAGGGAACAGAAGGACACTTATGTGATGAAGATTAAAGTTGAAGATGGTGGCAACCCTCCAAGATCAAGTACAGCTATCCTACAAGTTACAGTTACTGATGTGAATGACAATCGCCCGGTCTTTAAGGAAAATTATATTGAAGTTAGCATTCCAGAAAATGCTCCAGTGGGCACATCAGTTTCACAGCTTCATGCCACTGATGCAGATCTGGGATCAAATGCACAGATCCTCTTCTCTTTCAGCAATCAAATCTCCAATCTGGCCAGAAGGCTGTTTGCCATAGATAACACCACTGGTCTTATCACAATTAAAGAGCCACTAGACAGAGAGGAATCTCCTGTACACAAGTTGACTGTTTTGGCAAGTGATGGCAGCTCAACTCCATCAAGAGCAACAGTGACAATAAATATCACAGATATTAATGACAATGTACCATCAATAGACACAAGGTACATCATTAATCCAGTGAATGGGACTGTGCTTTTGTCTGAGAAAGCCCCACTCAATACAAAAATTGCCTTGATTACAGTAATGGACAAAGATGCTGACCTGAATGGAAAGGTTACTTGTTTCACTGACCATGATGTCCCATTTAGGTTAAAGCCAGTGTTTGACAATCAGTTTCTGCTGGAGACAGCGACATTTCTAGACTATGAGGCTACCCGGGAATATGCCATTAAAATAGTGGCTTCTGATTCAGGGAAACCTCCCTTAAATCAGTCTGCAATGCTCCTGATTAAAATAAAGGATGAGAATGACAATGCCCCGGTTTTTACACAGCCTGTAATAGGACTTTCCATTCCTGAGAACAATGCTCCTGGAACCCAGCTGACTAAGATAAGTGCTACAGATGCAGACAGTGGACGCAATGCTGAGATCAGCTATATGTTGGGCTCAGATGCACCTCCTATTTTCAACCTAGACCGCCGCACAGGCATTCTGACAGCAGTGAGAAAGCTGGATAGAGAAAAACAGGACAAGTATTCCTTCACTGTTCTAGCTAAGGATAATGGGATGCCACCGTTGCAGACCAATGCTACAGTTACAGTGTCTGTTCTGGATCAGAATGACAACAGCCCTGCCTTCACCCACAATGAATATAATTTCTATGTGCCAGAAAATCTGCCCATGTATGGGACAGTGGGGCTTATCACAGTTACTGATGCTGACTCTGGAGAGAATGCTGCTGTCACTCTCTCTATATTAAATGGCAGAGATAATTTCATTATTGATCCACTTACTGGTGTAATAAGACCAAATATTACCTTTGACAGGGAGCAACAAAGTTCTTACACTTTCCTGGTGAAGGCTGTAGATGGAGGAAGACTGCAACGTTCTTCAACTGCCAAGGTGACTATTAATGTAGTCGATGTGAATGACAACAGGCCTGTTTTTGTTATCCCTTCTTCTAACTTCTCCTATGATTTAGTTCCAACATCCACCAATTCAGGCTCTGTGGTAACTAAAGTTTTTGCAGTTGACAATGACACAGGGATGAACGCAGAACTCCGCTACAGTATTATAGGCGGGAACTCAAGAGGTTTGTTTACAATTGATCAGTTAACAGGCAATATCACTTTGAAAGAGAAGGTAATAACATCAGATCATGGCTTACACAGGCTGGTAATAAAAGTCAATGACTTAGGACAGCCAGAGTCACTGTATACAATAGCACTGGTGCATTTATTTGTGAATGAGACTGTTACTAATGGTTCATATGTGCAAGAGCTTGTACGCAGAAACATGGAAACACCAGTGGGCCAGAATGTTGGGGATGGTGAGATAACCCCACAGACCAATGACTATGTCAAGATCATCATTGCTATCATTGCAGGCACCATGACAGTTATTCTGGTAATTTTTGTCACTGCTTTGGTACGATGCCGCCAGACACCTCGGCACAAGGTTGTCCAAAAAAGCAAGCAAAGTGGGGAATGGGTCTCCCCAAACCAAGAGAACCGGCAGATCAAGAAAAAAAAGAAGAAAAAGAAACGTTCCCCCAAAAGTCTCCTTCTAAATTTTGTGACAATTGAAGAATCTAAACCTGATGATCCTGGCCATGAGCATATAAATGGTACTTTAGACATTCCTGTAGAGTTAGAAGAACAGACTATGGGAAAATATAACTGGGCCACCACACCAACCACATTTAAGCCTGACAGCCCAGATTTAGCAAAGCACTACAAGTCTGCCTCTCCACAGCCTACCTTTCAAATTAAACCTGAAACTCCTGTGCCCCCTAAGAAGCACCATGTCATTCAGGAACTGCCTCTAGATAACACCTTTGTGGTGGGCTGTGATTCACTCTCCAAATGCTCCTCAAGCAGCTCGGACCCTTACAGTGTCTCTGAATGCAGCTGTCAAGGAGGTTTCAAGACTCCAGGTCCCATACATACTAGACAGGTAAAGCAACGTTTTTAGCTTCTTTCTCTTGCTTGCACTCTATCTCGTTCTTCTCCCTTTCCCCCACCAACTTTTTTTTCTTTCTTTTTTTCGCTGTAGCTCTAAGCTGTGTAGAATAACTTTGTAGAGATTAAAAGCCTAGAAGTTCATGCTTGGCTGAGGCATTGAAATGTAAACAGTTTGTGATTCATCAATGTTAGAGGAAGAAAATTAGAATAAATTGACTCTTAGCTGTGGGGAAATTGAGTACTGAATAATTATATTAGGGGTATTCCTGTCTGTAGATGGCAGTATGGCACTTCCTGCATTATTGTACTATATAGTTGTATAGCTCTGTAAAACAAAGAGGGGTTATGGCACTGTCCTTGCTAGTATTGTATGCTTAGGAATCTAAGTAATCTAGGCCAGGTGGAAAGCAATAAAGCTGCAGAATCTGATAAGTGGTTCTTAATGCTAATGGAGTCTAGAATTGCAGCCTTCATTTGGTCAGAGCTGTACCTCAAAGTCTCTCAAAATCAGACAAGTTGTTTTTTTCTCCCCCCAGAGGGACTGAGTGCCATTTTCGAACTAGAAACATACCCTGCAATCTAGGCTACTAAAAGCTGACTGACTGACACACTCAACAACATAAAGCAGCAAAGAAGACAGTGGAAACAAATTAGAAAAAAGCAAAATTGTTGCCCTTACACAATCATCTTTATGTCTAAGTTCAGACCATGCAAATGCTAACTGCTCTTAGATGCAGTGTAGCATTTACAGGAGATAACTATAAAGATCCCCAGGTAAACGTTCAGAGCAGAAATGTAAGATAATTAAAGACCTTTTGATTTTTCAGATACTAAAATAATGGTTATTAAATCACTGGGAACCACATCTAATTTGACCCCAAATTATAGAAAGTGTTATTAATGTAACTGTGATAGGTTTTATTATTTATTTGATTTTCACCCCTCATTAGTGTAAGTAGTATAAGCATCAGTTCAAAAAAAGTAAATTAAAAAGTCCAGTGTTTACGTATCACTAAACTATAAGGAATCAATGGTTTGAGAGAAGTAAATAAAGCCCACTTATACTGTGAGTTAAATAGAGGGTTTGGTTCCTGTACAGGTTTTTTTTTCAGGCATAGAATCAAGGGTCAAATCCCCAGGGGTGCATTTAAGCGTTAGTAACCTTTGACTCTACCCAGCAGAGTATCCAGTCCCCTAAGTTGACTTATTTTTCTGTAAGCTTTCTTTCACTAGTTATATGGTTAAAGCAAAATGTGCTGCCTGAAGAAATGTCCCCTGTTCAAACTTCACGTCTACAGTTTAGAAAGATTGCTGTTGCTTTTTTCATTCCTTTTTTCTGTGACACCAGTTTGTGAGGTAGACAAAATCCCTGTACCACACAAAGCTTTTTGCTGAGAGATGTTAACAGAAAGCAGAACAGAATATGATTTCTTCATATTTCTCAGTTGGCAGTGATTGTGGAAAAATTAATAACATGTGAATGATGTGAATGTTTTCTGTTAAGACTGGTTGAGTGGGAAATTTTTAAAGTTAAATTATGCAAGAAAAGAACCCTATCATGGTTAATACTATTGAAGTTTTTGTCTTGGTAGAGGGTGAAGGTTGTTTCTCAGCACCACTGGGGCCTGAGTTAAGGCATTTTCCTATTGACTTGAGGTGGCTTTGGATTAAGACCTATGAGCCAAAACAGTCTCCTATTGTTTGTTCAAAGTCTTCCACCAAACAGAGAAAGTTTGGCATGTGGCTCACTTTAGTTCCAAGAGGTACCAGTGCTCACACACCAGTGTGGTACCTCTGGGCCCCTCTAAACATGCAAGTAAAGGCACAATGGGCATCTATATGAGATGTTGATTGCAGAGTAGCCGAATAATATTGCACAGTAGTGCATCACAGCACTAACAGTACTAATACCCTGCTGTGCAGTATTATTAGGCTATGGCACAGTAGTGTCTCTTAAACAGCATTCACTGGTGCTTACTGCACAATAACTCTGGTTGCTGCTCATTTATTTAGTACAAGTACTAAATAAATGCACAGTAACAACTGCACAGTAGTGCCTCATAGATGTGCCTAATGAGATCTAATGTGCAGTCCACACAATTGTGTCTACTGCTATGCCACATATGCATAGCATAAGGCATGACTGTGATTTCATGCATTAGATCCCATTGCACCTTATTGAGCCCAGGTTTTCCCTGTACAGGCAAGAAGATTACAGCTGCTGTACCCTCCCAGCATCCCTGCCATGCTCTTCTTGGGGGCTGGTAGATTTCAGCTGTGCTCTGTGGCTGCTGGGACACAGCTGGGTCCTGGCACTGGGAGGCATGCTGCAGGGACCCATGTCTGAAGATGTGGGACTTTGGGTCTTGCCAGCTACAAGGTGTTCCTGAGACCCAGCATCTGCAGTTTCTGGGACTGAGAGTTGTCTCAACTGTGGAACTCCCACCCCTGGCTGGACACGGTGCAGCGCTGCAGCTGGGCGACGCATCAGCTAACAGGGCTCTCAGCCATAGGGGAGACCCTACTACATATAGAAATGAAAGCTGGATAGCAACCAGGTATAAAGTTTAGTACACATTTTCAAGGTCTAACTTTATAGCTGGTTGGAATTTTCTGTGGTATGATAGATATTTTGCATGTGTAGTTGATCTCAAGGTAATTCTGCAAATAACCAGTTAATTGTGCAATGCATGTAACATGTATGTGAAAGATGGGTGTTGGAAAACAGTCTCCTCAGCAGGACTGGGCCTCAGGGGCAGGTACTACCTTCACCTCCTTTTCTCCCTAGAAGCGTGAGGTTTGAGCATTCTTCTGCTTGCCATTTTAATGGTACAGAAAAGGGTAGTACTGCTTAGGTCAGTGGGCTATCGTCACCTGAAAAGGGCTTGGTGCAATTCTGTTAATATATGTAGAATGAGATATTAGCAGGAGTGTGGTTAATATATTAATTTGTTAAATCAGCTCCCTTTAGGTTAATTTTGTTTATGTCATTGCAGTCCCCACAGAACTTGGGAAAGTTTTAACAGCTGACCCAGCAAGGATCTTTTATAGTTGTTTGCAAATAGCATTTCTTTTAAACACTAGAATAACTCCTTTCATACTTAAGCAAAACATAAACAACTCTGTTAATTTAAGTAAGTATTGAAACAAGAAAGGATTTAATTCAATTGGCCTTTCTGCTGGATTTTTTACATATAAAAAAAATTGTATGTTTAAGGACAGTCAAGACAGTCAAATGAACTGTTTGGCCTTCTAGATGCTTTAAAACAGTCTAATTTGGCCCCAACACTGAACAGCTGTATTGTATCATCTCCATCCAGGAATATGAACTAGGAATGCAAATAGGCGACACTGAAGAATATTTTAAGGGGCCAGCTCATGGCCCATGGAGTGTGTAAACAGACTAAAAGCTGTTCCTTACTCCTTGTAGCTGTAATGCTATTTAGCCCTTCTCCAGCCTCAGAGATTACTGGCATGGTTTAGACTTGCTTCATATATTCACTGATTTCACAGAAAGCTGCAGGGAAGAG